CCGGTAGCTGGGGCCCAACTTGGTTCTAGGGCTTTAGCTCATAGCCAGGCCACCCGCGCTAGGAAGGGTCTCAGCTGTAAGGAGGGAGACGGGCTGGCTCGGGAACAGAACTTACATTCAAGTCTTGACTTGGCCGCCTTCTTAACATCCTTTGGGAAAAGTCTCATCTTTCTGAGCCTCAATTTCCCCATCTGTAAAATGGAACAGTAATAACAACCTCCCAGAATGATTGAGACTTAAATAAAACCCCACGTGCCAATGCTTATTTATTCAGTTTTCTATTTATATACCTCTCAGTCAAAAAGTCTATTTGAAGCACTTATCAAAATACGTGAAGATAAGATAAAAAGCAATCGGGCCAAGAAGATGAGTTAAAAAAAAATACCAGCAGCCATGAGTGAAGGTGTCCCAGAAAAAGTGGTTTGTGAGGCACTGACTCGTTCTGTGCTAATCGCCATGTACTTTTGAGCTTCCTAGCAGCCCAAGTGATGAGGGACACATGCTCAGTTCCATAATTCTCAGCAGCAAGCCAGGCTGGGGCCTTATGAAGGGGCCTCGTGCCCCAGTGGGTCAGAGGGAGATCTCAAGCCTTGGCGAGTCTGTCCTCCAAAGGGCACAACTGGCTGGATGTAACCAGATTCTGAAAGCCAGCCTGGCTGGGGCAACTGCGTCATTGTGACCACAGCGGGGTCACAGGGGCCCCTTTGAGCCAAGCAGCATGTTTACTCACCTCCCTGAGTTTCCATTACCTGCTAAGGCTTTTGTCAGCTGCTGCCAGGGGATTTAGTCTGAGCGTCAGGCCTGGTCCTGCCCTGCCCTCCGCAGCTCACAGGCCAGTTCAGTCCAACCAGGGCAAGGCTTGGAGTGCGCCCCACAGATACACGTTTACGTTCTGCCGGAGGAATCAGGGCTGCCTTACCAGGGCCTGAAATCCTCAGGTGGGTCACTCTGGAGGCTTCTGCCGTGCTGACCTCAGTTTGCAATTGCCTTATGGCTGGCCCCTGCTATGGCAACAATTCTTACCCGCCTGCCTTTATAGGGCCTCGCCCTATGGCCCCTCCACTCACCTTGCTGGCCTGTCTGCCTGGTCTCGCTTTGCCAGAGCAGGGCTGGAATCCACTGTGGAGCCCAGAAGACCCACTTCAAAATGCTGCCAAGGAGCAGATTCTCTCTCCCACCTTCCCAAATGCAAGTGGAGACCAGCCCCACCTGTGCCCTGGGACAGCTGACATTCAGCAGAGGTCAGGTCGCCACTCCTGATTGTCATGCCTGCCTGCAGTCAGCTGTGCATAGCCACCTGTGGGCAGGCTCCAGGAGGGTCAGGCATTTGAACCGAAAGTCGTAGAACGTCTTGGACCTGATAGCATTAGTACCAACCTAGCCAGCTGAGCTGGTGACACAACTGCTGTTGGCTAGCTTGCTCAGGACTCCTCGCCAAGGTGAGGCCAGGAAGGGCACGTAGCAAGCCACTCAGGTTCACGGCCCAGCTTTGTAACTTTGAGCAGGTCCCTGAAGCCCCTTGATTTCCTCCTTTATAAAATGAAAGGGTTGGAGGAAATGGCCCTTAAAATTTGTTCTAGATCAAACATGATTCTGTGCCTTACGACCATGTAGGTTGGAGCCTTGCAGCCTTGAGCACTGAAGCAGATGAAAGTTTATTGAGCACCCACTGCACACCAAGAACTCTGTACCCATTTCACACATACAGAAATGGGTTCAGAATGGTGAGGAGCCTTGCTTAAGTTCACAGTAGTTTGAAGCCAAGAATATATCTTCCCACTGTATCGTGCTGTCCTGAGAGTTAGAAATGAAAAGGAAGAGTATGGAAGGAGGACACTCAAATGACCCGGAGAAGTAAAGAGAAGCCCCAGGAAGGCACATTTAAGGGAAAGAATGTTCCGGGTGGAAGGGCAGTACCCCACTCCCAGGGATCCATGGAAAGGGAATCGAAGACACCAGATGCCAGATGCCAGGTCTCTGTCTCGGCTCTTCCTGTGACTTGGTGGGTGACCCCAAGCAAGTCACTGGTCCGACTCAGCCAAATGGGTCTAATTTCCCGGCCTGTCTATCTGCCTCGCTCCGCTCAAAGGCAAACTGAGCAGAATGGTTATAGTCAGAATGCTCTCTCTTGCTGCACAGGTTCATGCATGAGACAAACAGCGCATCCAAATAAAGCGTGGAGTTTGATGAATAGTGATGTGCCCACTTCAGCTTCTAGTTGTGACAAGTGTACCATGGTGATGTAAGACGTGAACAGCGGGGGAGACTGGGAGAGGGGTGCAAGGGAACCCTTTGTACTGTCTTTGCAACTTTTCTGATAAACTACAAATTACCTAAAACAGAAAGTCTATTTAAATTGTTTTTAAAAAATGTGAGGCTTTCCACAGCCATAAATGAACCGATAAATTAGACCGTGTAAGAGAATAGAGAATGGTTATATTCATGAATCACTCATGAATACAGTGATCCATTCAAAATAACCATGGAATATTGTGTGGGATTTAAAAAGAAATGGTAGATTTATTTCTACTAATCTGAAAATTTCTTTAATCTAGCATTGATTGAGAAAAACAGTTTGATTGGACTTAGTGTCCAATATAATATTTATGAAAAGTATTAAACCAAGAACAGAAAAATTGCATATAAAACCAGTGATACACCTCAAACAGATCAAACTGTTTATGCCTGGATCAGTCAAGTGCAAAGCTTAGGGTAATAGGCAAACTTTTAGTTTTATTTTTTATGTTAGAATTAAATGTCATTTCTTGAGACCTGTAAATTGTTTTCATTGAATTTTTTCGGTGAAAAGGTAGTCAAAAGATCCGTAAATCTTGTGTCCCTATACACAAAAAAGGTAGATAGAAAGAAGAAACGAACGAACAAGAACAGCGCTCTGGGCAGTACCGGAAAGGGACCTCACATCTACAGCCTGCTCTCCCCATCCCTTGGAGCTTCTAAGCCCCTGGGGCAGGTTCTGCACTGCAAAGCTGAGCTTTTCCCAGGATGTTTTTTGTTCCTGGAGCAAAGCCTAGCAATGCAGCTGGTATGGTCAGGATTGGGTGGGCCAGGTGGAGGAGCTGGCTGCAGAGGCGGAATGTGTGGTGACTCGGTCTCTGGGGGGAAAGGCTATGGGTGGTCCTAAGCCAGGAGGGGAGTTTCCTTGATGGTGGAGCTTCCAGGGGTACTGGGTACAGCAAGTTGGACTCAGAGGCTTGGCTCCTATGGGGCAGGAGGTGACTTCATGCAGGGCCACCAGCAACTGGCCGGGACGTTCACAAACATGGTGGCGGCAAAGGACTTCTCAGGTC